TTTGTTTTAATTGAGTGATTAAGGGTCTGGGTATAATTCATTCCAACACAAGGAATTGAACTTCCCAATTTCACTGTTTGTATTGCTCATTCCCAAATTCCATACAATACAGTAACATTGCATCACCTCCCACACAAACATATACATACTTATCACCCTCAAACCCCCCTCCCAGACCCCTACCCTCTCCTCTTATCACACACACACACACACACACACACACACACACACACACACACTTCCTATCAAGATGGAAATGGCTGCTCTTGGATCATGTTCCTGCTTGTATTTAGTAATATCCCTCATACTTGTTTAAAGTGAGGGGAATGCAGATGTGTTGTACTAAATGATGGTAGACTCACAGGGCCAGCGAGTGAGTCATTTCGAGTTAGAAAGTGTGTGTGTGAGTCACTCTTGTTTCGTCACATACTGCGGGGAAACACGATAAATATATCATATGCAGTTGCCAAACACCTTCATTGTAAGGACGCAGGTCAGAACCATGACTCATCACTGGAGTGTAGGAGCTCAGGCTGTTCATTCATGAAAGAAAACAACGATTCAAATGCATTGCTGACATCACATTATGTGCTGGCTGCTGTTGGCGCAGGCTTCAGGCTAAGTCACTGACGTGGTGATGTGACGCGTCTGCGAGAGCTCTGGGGCTGATTATGTGTTAAAATCACGACTATACCAAGAGTTGTGAGGGAGTCTTGAACGTACAGTGTCAATATCTGGTCAGGAAAAAACAGAACAGGATGATCCAACATTGAGATTCACTCTTGATACTACTGTACATGGTGGCTTTGACTGAAAGCCTTTTACGTGCTTCAACAATTTCTGCTTTTGTTAAAAAGTTAATTTGCTGTTTCAAGCTTTGGGTTGCACTCCAAAAGCACTATCAGATGGTGGTAGTTTGAGTTGTGGAGGTCAGAGGGTTCTACTGTGGGTCGACTATATAATGTTGATTTACAACTCCAGTGATTATTAGGGATGCACTGATTGCAGTTTTCTTGGCCGATTCAGATTTTTCTTTAAATCTGACCTGCTGATTTTAAAAGAAGTATAATTGACACATTTTTTCATCACTATCCCAAAAAATATTTTTTAACCGTCTTGTGTAAACTGTCAAAAATTTTAAATATTATCTTTTTACTTTGTTATTGTCATCTATAGTGTTTATTTGCATAAAGGCACTATTCAAATGATTAGGAAATACATTTTTCTATCTTTATTTGAATAATAAAAAAATAAATATATCTTGGGATTTGTATATTAAATTATATATTATAAGCTGCTTATAGCTAATGTTAGTGTTAGGAAGTTAAAATGGTCATAACTCCTGATATAATATCTATTTTATATTGCTGTGAAAACATCTGCTTCAACATTGTACTTTTTACACGATCAAATTTAAACGCGTCATAATCGCGTTGTGATTTACCTTCCCAATACTAATTGTATTGAGTAGAGCTTAAACGCACCATAATGAAAGTCAATGCAACCTCCATCAAAGTTCTGAGCAGTGGTGGCGAATGGACCCGCTTTACGTCTTCTTCGCCCTAAAAAATCGGAGATGTGAGGCTGACGAGCTGAAAACCAGCCGATTTCAATCAGCAGCCAATCGATCGGTGCATCTCTAGTGATCATTCAGTATGTTAATCTCTTAAGTTTGGTTGCAGCGAGGCTCTATTGATACCAGCTTTGTGAGTTGGGAATGTACCAACAATGTCTTTGCAAGATGGTTGCAAATTATGAGCCTGACAGCGATTAAATTGGCATGTATATGTATGTATGTACTTGTGTAGTCAGTGGAAGAGATCTGGAATCTGTAGGTGTATATTCATGCGTTTCCCTCTACGTCCAGGCCCACCTGTTTGTTTATTTGGACGTCGGATGTGTCATCGGTTATGAATCGCGCCGCTGCTGAATGAGCCACACCTGTGATGGCATGAGAGGCATCTGATAAACAGCTGCATTTAAATTCAAGCTCACATCCTGTCTGTCTGGTGATTCATGCCAACTCCCTCCACCTCTGCTCACCATGTAAATCAGTCTTACCCGCCACCGTGACGGCTCTCTCACACCTGTTGGAGCCACAGTGAAGCCTCTTGTTTCCCATATCGGTGGTGCTCATGGTGTCTTAATTACCACCCTCTGACTAACTTTGAAAGAAGGCTAAATATAAGTCTGATTCAGAGGCTATATCTGAGGCAAACTAGAGCAGCAGGGATGGTCTCACAGGATAGAAACAATCTTTAAGAAGCCTTAAAAAGCTTAAGTCTTTATCTCTGGTGGTGTGAGACTGATCTATGGGGCTTATTGTCTTATAATCTGGACAACACATTTGGATGGTTAGCAAAGACAAGCACATAGATTCTTGTTTGTGTATTTTGTTAATACAAAGCATTTATTTCAAACAATTGTGAGCAAAGATTGCTTTTGCTGCTCAAAAGTAGCTTGCATGTTTCTCTTGGATATTAAAGGTGATATAAGCCTTCCTCAACTATGAAACCTCTGTAGCCTCTGAGGCACATTTAGTTGGTTGACCCTCCCACTTGTGGCAGCAGTTAATAATGTCAGCCTTTTGGAAGTGCTTTGAATTTGGCCATGAGTGACTAATGAGACTACGGAGAACTACCACCAATGCTAGCTTTGACATCTTCTGTCCTCTCTCAGACGTCTTTCTCTATAAAGACAAATTGTCTATTTTCTCCAAAGACAATGTTGGATGACAACTCTCCAGATTGAATCATCAGTGCAAACAATGAACAGCTGCCCTCGAAAATATCTGATTCTTTGGTAAACATTTAATGTCCACGCCTGTGAACATAAAAACAGCGAGAACTACAACTCCCAAGGTGCATTTACACAAGAAACATCCCATCTTATTTATACGCGACGGCCTTCCTGGACTATAGGTGGTCGACAAGAGACCTCTAGAGTTCTCGGTCATTTGCTTTCTTCTATCTGATACCAGCGACATGCCAGTCTCTTGATGTCTTCCTGGAGATCCCGTTGCAAACAAAAGTTTCTGATACTTACACGTTTTGTTCAGCAAGATAATCGTCACCACTTTTACGATGTTTGAAGAGTAAATGCAATCGGTAAAGTCTTAAAAGCTAAAAGCAAGGCTGTAAACAAACGACACCGCGGTCACCTCCATTTATAGTCTCTTACATCAATACCTCCTTGTCACCTTTGCTTATTCTTCATTCAGCAAGCGTCGCAACGTGCCGTCACCTGTGTACTAGCGATGGCGATGGTTTGTTCCAGTTGACAGTTAGCAGCTTTCAGTTTTGTTCTCACGCCTCCATATGGACAAGAGAGGACCGTTAATGTGACATCGGTGGCGAGATGTAGCCGAGCTTCCGATACTCTGAATCATTACACAACCACGAGGCTTCGCCTGGCTGTTCCAGGATGTCAGGAGGGATTATTACAGGATGTTTCATCTCTCTTGGGAATCAAATTGAAAATCAGCTAACTTTGTATTCATGCTGAGATGGAGTAATATTTAATCATCTATTTCTTTGCATATTTTCTGGAAATCTTTTACATTTTCTTATAATGGAGACATTGAAGGCCCTAAAAACTACCGTTAGGCAGTAATGGGTGGCGGCATTACATAACCGTCTATCCATTGACCCTTTTAACTGTAATTGCGCTTAGAATAGAACTAGACCCCGCTAGCTCGGCATTAACGAGGGAACCTTTGACCCTCTGTATCCAACACTGCATGGAGCTGTAATAAAGCAGACCTGTGAAATGTAAATACGAGCATAGGTGATGGCAGACGGATATGATTACATCCCTTCGTCTTTATATTTCAGAGCAAATCTTAATGAATAATTTGATTAAATGAAAAGCTCCAATCACACTGGCATTACTGAGGCTCTTTGATACGCTAATTAAAGGTGTCATTATTCAAAACAAGACATGTTTTCAAAGAGTAGAATTTGAAAGAAGCTCTGATCTTTATGTTACATCTTCTGTGTTGACAATCTGAAACTGGGATGATCTCACTTTCCCCCAAATTGTCCTGCAAGCGCATTGTTGAGCCACGGGGCCTGTCCAATCTCCCTCTGAGTCTCCGTAGAGCAGTGGTGTTAAATACCCAGCTCAAACAAGCATTCAGGAAAGGACAAAGCTTTAATTATATGCATCACCACGTGGAGCTATTAGCCCTTTCTAAGTAAAGATACAACTCCACTCTAAGTAGGGGTTTAATGCACGGAGAGTGAGCTGCTTTCATTGCCAGGGAAACTAATGCAACATCCCCCTTTGGTCTGATTATATCCAATATCGCGGATCAAAAGGAAGTTGTGTCACGCTGCACGAGCGACCAAAATTCTCTCTTCATGTTTTACCATCAAACGGATGCAAGATGAGAAAGAGGGAACCATCCATCGTCTTAAAAGCATTTCCCAGACTGGGCCTCGTATCGCCCGATGGAGTGCTCATGTACCCTTAATTATTTGCTTTAGCTTAAGTGTTAGCATTGTTTGATGTATGCAACAGGGTGCCAGCCTAGCACATAGACCAACAACAAGATGTTTTAGAGATGGGGCCTCTTTAAAGTTTGGTTGCATTTCATCCCACTTGTAAATGCCAATATTTGTAATGACTATAAAATAAAACATTGGTCTGCCTTTTTGGAAAAAGCTAACAAGAAATGTTCTCTTTCTACTGTTCTATTTCATGCAGTTCAGCACTCTGAAAAGTCTCTCTTGTGTAGTTGGGTAATTGTTCCATTTTGAATGCAGACAACACTTAAGAAATTATTCAAATGATTGTATTGACAGCATGTTGACAGCTACTGACAATAGGCTGCATCAGACAAAAGCAGCACAAGAAAAAGAGTTAAACTGATTGTATTGCCAATGCAGCAACAATACTGCACACACTCCCTGTGTGTGGAGGGGTATGTGTGCTATAATTGTGGCCAATTTCAAAGCTTACCACAAACTCTGCATATTGTAGACCCTTCTGTCTGCTTCTGTCTAAAATAGCTTTTTGTTTTATCCAAAATATAGATAATGTTTCAGGAAGTGCAGTTAGTGACAGTGTAGGCTCCATGATAACGTTAGCTCTGACCGCTTGACGGAGTAGTAGAATTCTGATCAAATATATAATTCTGCCATACCAGACAAAGAGAGAGAGTCCTGCTGTGACTCTTCATTTTTTATTTATTTAGTTAAAATACATATGAAACAGATACAATAAATCATATTCCAAATATTTACTTTAAAGTGTTACAAAAGTTATCACAAACTGTACACGTCATGACAGCAGTTGCACTTGTTCTTGCTCGATATAGAATCAACCAATATGCAAACAATTACAGATCAAAGCTCTAAGCTGCTAAACATGGAATAATAAGGTAGAGTTGGTGTCACTGGGTCTCCAGTTTGATTAATTGTTCACAACTATTACAGAACGTGTATAAATTTCACTCAATTACAAGTCTGAGCTGTTCAAATTATCACCAAACAATAGAAATATATTGTGATGTTTCTATCTCCATAAGTTCACGACAACTTCTTAAATTTCACGTTTGAATACAAACAGTGCCATTGACAAGTATGCTATTTACAAATGTTTTAAATTAGAATACTATAACATGTTAATTTCTGACGTTTTCCCTTGATAGGTGTGTTTTTAAAGAGGTGAAAGGCATGCTACAAGAAAAAATATTTATTTTTAATATTAAGGGGAAAAAAAGCATCATATCCATGTGCAAGTAAGATAACAGTACACAGCCTTGTTTTCTATTTGCTAGGTTGGCTGTTTATTAGTTTCTTATTACTCACATATGAGGAGGAGCTGAGTCAATGTTCCGAGTCAGATGCATTGAACATAATTTTATATGGCTTCGTGTAAAAAAACAAATGCATGTAACAGTTGCAAATGTTTTATGGATTATAATTCCCTGAATTTGTAACTGGTGAGGAAAAGTTGTGCAATAAATTTTGGGTTCAAAATTGCATACTTGCGTATTGATACTACATACTTGATCAATATGTACTCCATACTGCCCACTAAATTAACAATTAGCATACTGTTCACACTGTACAATACGTCTTCTCTGGGACACACGACTGTATCAATCAGGACGTTACCAGTCCGAGCTACCGTTGAATAAAAATTGCTCATCACATCAACTCCACTCAATTTAATATTTTTTCAGTATAAATGCAAATTATTTCATTTTTGGTGTTAAACATGTTTTCAACAGTACATTATATATGTGAGCTACCATGCTTCTTTTCCTCAACTGTACTTAAACGTCACTCGGCATCATTTTCTGATTATTTTTCCATCATATTTTGTATGAAAAGTAGATAAGTATGCGATTTCGAACACAGCCCACCTGTGTTACTCTATGTTATGTTTTGGTGCTGTTTGGCCAATTAAGCGTACAAGCTAAGCTCCACCCCCCCCCCTTCGTTACTGTTGCGCCGCCTGTCAAGCTTTCCTTTTTCACACGGCACATCATGCAGTTTACGATAACAATGGTGGCCGATTCAACAATCGAAATACATTGTCATTTTCGAAACAATAGGCCCTTTATTTCAGTCACAGGTCGACAAAAGCAGCCTTTTGTTTCTAGCTGGCGACCTTCAATTTTCTCGGCTGAAACGACATCTGTTGATTTAATCAGCTAGCTAACGGATTAGGCTAAAGTTAGCTTCATAATTTGACTTCTTAACTTTTTACCTTGTTTCAAACCGAGAACCTGATCTCTACATACCGTACATATAATCATGTTAAAAGGCCGAGGCTAAAGAAGCATGTCCCAGGCAAAAAGTCAGCATAGTTTTGTTCTTGTATTTCAGTGTAGAAGTAGTAGTCCTGGTCCTATTAAGTATGATAAGGAAAAATGTACGATGACATTCTACTATTTCATTCAAGTATAACCCCGTTTAGCTGCTTAGTTTACAGAGATAGATAGATTATGCTTCTACTTTTAACGTTAAAAGAGAGGACTAACCAAGGTGTTTGGTGAATGTAATGCCGTCTCAGGTAACAAACGTAAACTTCCACAGTCGGTGTGCTGATTGTGAACAGGCTTCTCTGTTTTTATTTTCTTACCTATAACCTCATTAAATGAAGCTGGATGTAAGGATGGGTTTCTACTCTGTTACACTAGTTAGCCAGGCATGCTAACGTTTGCAGCTTAAGTTAGAGCAGATAAACACAGTTTAATCCATTCTTTACATTGTTGGTCTTGTATTTTTTATTTTGGAGGGTAACAACCAAAGCTTGACAGGCTTGCTGTGCCTGGTTATGGTTATTAAGCTATAATTATCCAAATCATTGGCACATGCATTATTTAGAGGGACATTTGCAGTTCAAACAACGATTTAATTATATTTAATAAAGTTATAGGCGTAGTACAAATGAGTCAAATGAAACACATTTCTACTTGCTTGCTTTCAATTTCAATTTGCAGTTATATGCTGAAAATGATCTAGTGTGTTCAAAAATAAATATGAAATTGTCATACTTAAAGTTATTAAAGTATTTCAAACACATTTAGATGTTTTGTTTATCTCTCCGTATATGTTTGCTATTAAGCCTCTCCGGGGTCACATGGTAGAAAACAAAAGAAAGTGATGGATAAAGTCAACGGGATTGGCAAGAAGTTAGTCGAGTGTTGGTAAGTTCATCTGCTGTGCTGACACATTTTACTGCAATCAAAGTGAAAACAGGTAAAATGTCGCAATATACCGCAATAGATGTTATTGCAATAGTCGCATATCGCATAATGTTTGTATCATTACTTAAGTACCGTCATAATATTGTATCGTGTGGCCTCCCTTAGTAGCTAGCACCTAGTTGTAACAGCAAGGTTAGCTACCAATAATCCGCACCTTAAATATACTAACTTGACGTACTTGTTCTTCTTTGCTAGAATCGAGGACACTGATTACAAAACCGTTTGCACGGATTCACACTTTGTCTTTTTGTTTTGTTAACCATGTCACCACAGATGGACTTTAGTAGTTTGCTACATTTATCTGCTACACTTTCTTTAGGTCTGAGAGTCCTGTTGACGTTTCTAATACGTGCAGGGTGATTAACGGCTGGTTTTGTACAGCGGTGACATTTGTGACTGAAGAATTTCAAGAGAGATTTACCCAGCCCTTGTAGATGCTCGATTACCTGCATTCTTCAGCCAATCCCTGGATTGAGACTCACTGGATTTAATGAATGTTTGTCATCAAGTAAATGTTTTCTTGGCATTGAGCAGCGTAGCCCTTTAACTTCCTGCCATTTCAAAGGGAAGTGCTACCTCACTACAGAGCTCTAGGGTTAAGAGGAAAACAATGTTGCTCAAAATCTTAAAAAGGTTGATGCAGCTTGCCAGAGAATCCTAGGTGACTTGTTGCAGTGAGTCCTACCATTCATGTGGTCTGTGTAAATGTAAAGCCTTTTGGGGAATTTCAAAGCAGATGTATGAAGAAACATTCATCAAATCAAATGACAGTGAGGGCTGTGCATAACCAGCTCTGTAGAGAACTTTAAGGACTCGAGTTCAAATGAACAAACTATTTTAATACAACTTTCTTTTTTTTTTTTTTTTTTTTAGAAACATATATAAGAAACGCGTCAGAATGATTTTTCATACAACGTGCTCACAAGAGACTCACAGTCGACACAACTTGTCTGCAACTCTAAACAGACACCTGGTCTTTTACAGGGTTGGTTGTCACCACGCCACCAGCGATCATCAGGGCGTCTGCGGAGGTTTGGGTGAGGGACACGAACCTTGACTCTCAAAGCTTGCTGCTCTTCCAGGCCACTGCAAGGGAAAATATCACAAAGCACAACACATTATAGAGGCTTTGCTGCCCATTTAGTGGTGTCTAGCCAGGTTATTTCTACTAGTCCTCAGGATGTACTGTGATCATAGGCAAAAAAAAACTTGACTCAGCTGGGTCAGGTCACATTTAGCAGCAGAGCCAGATCGTGGCTTTGTCTCAGCCACAGCATGTGGTGAAAACACTTTTAAAGTGATTTGTAATATATTTCCTTTACTTTCGTGGCCTGCATTTTGCACATCATCCACATCGCTTATAAACTTACTTGAGGATTTATTTTGTGTGCGTGCAGGCTGGTGTTTGTGCATATGTCGTGATTCAATATGTGGTCTTAAATCTTCCCCTTGTAGACCTGGAAATTGGCTGTAAAAAAATGACCTCCCTTCAGGAGTGCAGGCTGTTTGGCTGTTGTGAAAGATTCCAGCATTTTGCACAGCGGTGAAAAAAAGACAAGACTTTATTGATCCACTAATGGGAGTATCACCTTCACAAACTCACGAAACTATCAGGAGATTGTTAAATACCTGTGAAAGCACTCTTGCAGCAAAATCCTCTTCTGTTTGCGTGCTTCTTAGGGTCTCACCAAAATATAGCATAACACACAGCTTCCAATTTAAACTTGCTGTTGAGCTTGTGAGCAGCTGTTAAAAGCTCTTCCACTGGTCTGGACATCCTCGCTGTCTCGTTTGCTGTACCTGAAGTGTCGTTGCAGGATTATTTCTAATGCTTTCTGCATGATTTAATTGTTATTTTTGTATGTTTAGTACACTGTTTAATCTTTAACAGAATACCCGAGAATAAAACAAGATTTATAAATATATAACAAACACTTGTTGACTGTATTCCCATATCCTCATGCAGTTATTACAGAACAATGACATGAGCTACAGAGGACACAGTTTTTGCTTATGATCACAGTTGTTTTTTTTACCAAAGCTTATGAAGTAGATTTACCACTGAAAACGGGAAATCACCTGTGTTTTCCTATTCGTCGGATGGGGAGAGGGTGGGGCAAAAGAGGAAGAAACATTGATAACATGTAAAATATGAAATACAATACAGGGGGTGGGGTTGGGGGGCACAGTTGGCTTTCCAGCAACTGTAAATCTGTCTTACTAGACATCCAAAGCACCTTCAGTGTTGTTTTGTTGGCAGTTTGCTTAGGCACTTGGTCCTGCTGCTGTTGGTCCAGAAAAAAGCTCCATTCAACAACGTCATATCTCTTTTTAGCTGCTACATGAGTTAAATACACATGAAACATGGAAGTAAGACAGTATTGGAGTTGGAAAGCACCTTTAACCAAGCTAGGCTAGCTGGATGCAGAGAGATTGAATTGATGTCGATCTTTTCACTGACTTTGTGTTACAGACAGTGAATACATTTCCAAAAATCGCAAAAAAATCCTTTCAAGCTCATTATTTATATATCTTTTTTTGTGATTTTCACAGAAAAATACCCTGATTTAGTAGATTGGACTAAAATCCTTTTTACCCAGATTTGCACGTCCCCATGTACCACTTGTACACTTGTTCCTCCTGCTGCAAGGAGGACTGTTCAGAATATAATTTCAGTATTAGTAAATCGGGAGAAAATCAGGGATAAAAGACTTGTCTGTACCTCTCCCAGAGCGTGCCAGTGAGTGATGGGCTTCCGCGGGTAAGCCAACATTTCGTTCCAGTGATCTCGTCCAAGACCCTCGGCATCTGGCCCGGTGCGACACACGCCGATCACCTCATTGTGTCCAACTCTGTAAGTAGTAAAACACACGTGAAGACACATTTTGGATGCACATCTTCGAGTAGAACAGGCACAAAAAAATCGATCATCGATGTCAGTGTTTGAGAGCTTTTGTTGATCAAAGTTGCATTCCAAAAAACCCCCAATTCTTCTTCTATCAAATGATCCTGTACCGTATAAAAGGTATCTGGTGACTGCTGGACTCACCGATCATAATCCATCACCATGATGGACAGACTGACTTGTTCCACGTTCTCCGGGGGAATGTCGAAGATGATGGCCTCGTTGTACACCGGGTTGAGCGTGCTCTTCTTGGTGGTTGTTTTTCGCTTCTTTAACCTCCGTCCATCACATATCAGGTACACCTTCACGTAAGGGTCTGGGAGACATGTTTACTGTCACATGATGATTTCAATCAATGCAAAGGGAATTAAGGGACATTTTTCTGAATGTTCTATGCACATGTCATTTCACACTCGGGTGTTCAGAAGCTCCACAAAATACAAACCGTTTCCTTTTTCACAGTTTAAAGTACCGCTGACAGGCGTATTCTGACAGATTGTAATATTATATAATTGCAATGATTTGTCCTCTCTGGACCCATTACTTCTCTTCTCCATTTCCACTCTTCGGTGGCCAGCTGCTGTCACGTTTCAGCTAAGTTCCATTCATGGCTCAGTATGTGTTTTTGATGTGAGCCACATCTTATTCGCTGTCAGGTTACCTGAAGAGCCTGTGATGTCCATGGCTTTGAGGTTTCTGCATTTGATGACCGTTAGGGTCATTCTTCCTGCTGTGGGGAGGTAGCACAGCGAGTACATGATCTCTCCCAGGTCAATACTCTCCTAGAGGACAAAGAAAAAGACAAATCAAAATGCCAACGTTAAGGAGTAAACAGGTCGGTAAATAAAGGAGGCTGTATGTTGTCAGCTGGTACCTATCACTATTACATTAAGTCATTCTTAATCGTCACTATTTATCTCATCTCCCGGTTGTTAAACACTAGCTTCTTAATAGTTGTAATTAATGATTTGGTTTTTAGCCACACTAGCAGCAGTCTCTAGTGATGGCAGCGTCAGGTGGTTTACTACTTTGGTCCAAACAGAAATATCTCAACTATAGAAATTTTGCACCGACATTCATGACCGCGAGGGGATGAATCCTACTTTGTTCGTTGTCCCCTGAACTAGCTCCACTATGAGCTTTCATGATCTCCTGACTTTCCATCCAGCGGCATTACCAGGTCAACATTTTAATTTGTCCAAAACTTTGCTTTATGATCAAATACCTGCAAAAACTATAGACTGCATATAAGAAGTGGACGTAGTCACCGTGATGCAACCCACTGATTTGTGTACAACAGTTGTGAAGCTTCGAGTTAGGCATTTTGGCCGTTGCCCTCTTGGTTTTTTTCGCCGTCGCCATCTTGGCTTTTTGCGAACGGAAGTGACACGAGAGGATGGAGCTAAGTACGGCCGAACGAACTGAAAATACAGGGTGTAAAGGCCTGTGATCACATAGCGCCTTTTTCTGAGCGCCATCATCTTTCTTTCAATTGTTCCCAGTGAGGAGATGTGCCCGCCTCGAGAAAAAGTGCTGCACCCAGCATCATTTTCCTGAGCACTCCGCCTTTTCTTTTATGCGGCTGCTCCATGCGATTCAAGATGAAAATCTCTTAACTTTTCAGTAGAGCGCCGGTGACGTCGCTGTAGAAAATGGAGGAGAAGCTTGTTTTGGTGTCTATCTTCTGCTGAGCTTTATGTCAAACAGACACTATCATAACAAAGACCAAAAGGTTGTGGGAGCAGATTGGCCGGGTGGACACTAAATGTTACTACTCAATGTACTTTTATCACCGAACACATTGTCTTCGAAGGATGGTCCTCCTTGCTCTAACGTTACGGCTGTCATATATAAATAGTAGCTAATAGATAATACGAAGCAAAGGGGCAAAGGCCCTAAAGCATACTCTGCTTTATCGTCTGCTTTAATCTAAGTGGGAGCACTATACTACTGAAATAACTTCTAGAGAAACTGAAACCCTTACAGTCACTTAGCAGACCCTTTTATCCAAAGCGACTTACAATTCAGATTCTATCACATTTCTACACCGTAGGCACAACTACGGGAGCAATTTCGGGTTAAGTGTCTTGCTCAAGGACACATCGACATGTGACTAGCAGAGCCGGAGCCGGGGATTGAACCGCCAATCTTCTGATTGAAAGACGGCCCTGCTATATATCCACTTAGCCACAGTCGCCCCATTTAAAAGAAGAGCTGCATCGGCTAATTGTCTTAGCAGTTAGGTTTGTTGGCAGTAGAGCGTTCATATTATGGACGTCGGTGGCACATCAAATTATAAATGGCGACTTTAAATATCAATCAAGTGTATCACAAGTCAGCAGTGGAATTACTCAGCTACATGTGCCATAAAAGCTGTCTCTCACACACATACACACTTTAAGAATAATACGTACATCCAACCCCTAAATCTCAGGTATAAATCCACTAAGTAACTGACGCTGCCCTCAGGTCTATCGACACAGGAGGAAGTTTTCAGGTTCATCTATGGCCTGCAGTTGTGAGTTAAATGTAATCTTAATTTTTGACTGCACACGCAGGGCCAAGGAATGGCTGAATGAATCCCCCTAAATGTTACACACTGTTCCTTTTGAGAAACAGCCTCGTCAAAAAACCCAAAAAACAATATTTCTCATTGAAACGCAGTTAAACTTAGTTGAGAACACAGAGAATCATCTGCAGTCAGTCTGTCTGCAAAAGTGAATATAAAGTTCTTTTGTTGCTGTTAATATAGTCGACAGAAGCTATTGTGAACCTCACAACAATGGCTCAGTGTTGCTCACAATGAAAACATTGAATGAAGCAGAGGCTCTTGAGTAAACTGTGATAATGTAGGAGTGAAATGCATTCTGGCTGAATACCCACTTCATACCGTATGAGGGCAAACTCTCTACCGTGCGCAATACCCTGTTTGTGTAAATACCTAAACGCTTGAGAGTATATTGCTGCGGTTCATATAACTTGTGATCGCATCCTTTACTTCTGATGCTATATTTATATCTGAGGAACACCCAGCAGTTTCTGGAAAATGTGTGTGGGTGTTTGGCTGACGAAATGCATTTCCCAAAGACTTTTAATTATGCAGTGTGTTCCACCTGCCATGTTCCTGGAACGTTGTTGATGATGAATTCTGGTTATTAGAAGTGATTCAGTGCAATACTTCATGTTTGGACCTTTCCTAAAAATAGTATAAGTTCCCGGTTGACTCAGTGATGGCAAAGATGGGCAACATTTCTTACGTAGCAACAATGTTCACACATGTGAGGGTTTGGCAGTGTGTAAGTGTGAACGCCAACTCACTGTAGTCGCTGCATGAATATCCTTCCACACCACGGCCTCCCTGGAAAGATCAGAGAGTTCAAAGAGGTTGTCCACCACCACCTCGCCGATCATATCGTGGCTGGTGAAGCGGTCGAAGTCGTAGACGCTGAAGTGCAGCTTGCGGTTGCAGATCTCATCGTACACCACGGGGAAGCAGAAGGTCTCGTCAAACATGGGGTTCAGATTCTTGCGGTGGACTCGCGTCTGGTACTTCTTCTTCCTCTCCGGCAGCAGGTAGATCTTCACGTACGGGTCGGAGGTGCCCGAGAAGTCTTTGGCAGGCAGGTCCAAGGCCTTGAGGATTGTCACCACCAAAGCTTGCTCCTCGTAGTCGTAACACAGCGAGAAGCTGAGCTTTCCGCAAGTCTCCACGGGCTCTTTGGCTCCATCCTCCGAGTCCACAGATTTCTGCTTGTAAAGTTCGGGTTTTATTCTTCCAATGCTCACCGTAGAAGACTGGCGGAGAGGCACCGTGTCCATGCTGAAGTCAAAGCTGGTGACATTCATCTGACGAGGCAGGTGGCGCCGGAATGAATTGTGCCTGTTGGAAAGGTTAAAGGGCATCTGGTAAATGTCTCAAGTGTCTCATGTGTGTTACGCATGAGTGGGTTTGTTATGATGAGAGCTAACGGTTTGTCAGGAGAGAGCTACTATCTGATAAGCTTCATGCATAATAATGAGGTGCTCATGGAACAAGCATTGAGACATTACCGTCTGGTAGAATAGCTCAAAAAATGGTTTTGGTTGGTCTTTAGTCTTCAGGAAAGAAGCACGAAAATCTGTCCAAGACGACACTTACTTTGAGGCATAACTTTCAAAATGCTGGATGCACATTAGCAAGTAGTAGCTTAAAATGCTCTGTGAATCAGCCAATCATATGCCATGCACATATTGTCCCTTTGAGCTTGGTAAAGTGGCTTAATTTACCTAAAATCAGGACCTCACAACCTTAATTTTACACTTTGACATATTACAAAGTACATTCAACATCCTTTCTCTTTCTTTGTCAACACATCTGTAGCATTCAGACAAATTACCTGAATGCTGTAAATTACTGCGAAGTTGAAAACGAATAAAATAAAACGACGGCTGTGTTTGACTCGCCAATCTTGTCACCTAGCAACTGGCCCTCCTCCTTTCTGACGGTGAGACGATCGCAGCGATCTGACAGCCGTGGCACAAACGATACGGCACCGGAAGCACAGCTGAAGATTTAATACTCTGCACTTGAGTACTGTAAACAATATAGAAGGCTGCATGCTGTCTAAGAGCCAGAACAAACCTGAAGGTAAAGGGGAAATAAATACTTGAAGTGCAACCTAAACACAATAAATACTAACTGGACAGAGAATACTTGGAGTTATTTGCCTTTTGCGGTTATCCTCTTTAAACACAACATCCTTTCAATCCACTAGGGGTTACACCAAATCCTCTACTAACACCAGAGATAAAACCCTTGTTTTTTTACTCTCTGTCAGAGTTATAAATATCATGAACATAAACAAAGAAGTTCATGAAATAATAGGGAAAGAATCTCCATCCTGACAATCACGCCCCCACCCCCCCCCCACTGTGTATTTTCAGGCTGTCCAAGATTTAGAGCTGAAACGATGAGGTGATCAAAAAATGTTAAAAGTGTTTTGATAGTCGGTTGTAGTTCGAATAAAGTGACAAATACTTGCTGGTTCCAGCTTCTCAAATGTAAAGATATACATTCGTCTATAGTAATGAAAATAATCCTTAATTTTAGCCCAATGATTGTCCTGTCTGTAAATCAAACTGTGAGCTAATAAATGTAAAAAGAATTAGTCATTGTAGTTTTGTTAAGCAACAGGGCTTCAGGCCATTCCTCTTAAAGGGACAGTGTGTAGGATTTAGTACCACCTAGTGGTGTGGTTGCAAATTGCAACCAACCGAATACCCCTCCTTTCACTCCTACCTTTCCAAAACTGTGTTAACGTAAACAGCAGAATGCACAACCGCCATAACGCCCTTTGCCTCACTCAGACGCCATCCTTGCCGTAATCACACGACTTTAGGAGCAAAGGAAGTCAGATGGCGACTGGCAGTATCGTGGTATTTCCCTCCGCAGCTCAGGTTCCCACAGTTTCAACTACGGTGACATTCAGGTAACGTAAAAAACGTGGAAGGCTCTCTGTAGAGACGGTGTTTGATTTGTCCATTCTGGGCTACTGTAGAAACATGGCGGTGCAACATGGTGGACTCTGAGCAGTGGAATGGATATGAAGAGCTCATTCTAAGCTATCGAAAACACGAGTCATAGTTTCAGGTAATTATACACTAATAAAAACATAGTTCTGAATATTATTTTCCATTTCTGCAAATAAATCAAACTAAATCATACACACTGGCCTTTTAAGCTAACAAAACAGTATTTGGGCTGGAGCTCAGAGGATGAAGGCGTTGTTGACATTCAAAAAGGAAACAATCAGTTATAATAAGGTATTACCGCCAAAGGAGTAGGCAGGAGGATTAAGACGGTAGGCGTTGTAATCTTTAACCTGGCCTTTCTGCATCCGCTGTGGGTGTATAATTCATGAAGACCGTGGTCTCAATGTAACTGAATTAACAATCCTAACAAACCGAAGCAACTGTCAATAACAGCTTCCTCTGACAAACTGAGCGCGGCTGACTGGTGCGCCTCACCAGAAACCAACCTTCCACCATGACAGCTCCCCCCCACCCCCCACAGCCGTGCTAATTATGGACGTTCTCGTTTAAACACAGTGCCGGAAAACAAAGAGGAGCGAGAGCTGGTTGTTTTAATTACTATGGTTGCTTCCCGCCGTTAAAACATCAGCTCCACTCGCATGTAAAAAAGGAGATTACAGGGTTCGAACTGAAGCGAGGAGAATTTACTGGCTGGCTGATGAGGAGGAGATTTATTTTTTCTTTCTTCTTGTCAGACAGTGCGAGAGAAACACAATTCAACATGTGCCAGCGTTTCAAGGTCACAGGATACAGCCCATGCTGTACTACATGACATGTGCCAAACCACCTCAAGGAACGTGGCTGCACTGCCACGAACTGTCAAGACATTTTTTTTGCATTGTGCTGGGGGACAAACAAGCCATTGTGTGTTCAAAAATGCTACCATTCTACCGTAGCAGGGTGTCCTTATCATGTTCCCGATGCAGGCAGACAGGGAGGGGTTGTGACTGCAGTGGTTCATGTAAGGTACCTGGAGGAGGAGGTTGGCTCTGTGGTCTGCCTCTGGATCTTAGCCTGCTGGCAGAGCTTCTCCCTCAGGGCTGTCTGCACCTCGGCGGGGATGTCCGGAGACGTCTGGCTGATCTTCATGGCCGCCTCCAGGAGCTTGACAGTGCTCCGTCCATTCGCCTTCACTTCCAGCGGGTACTTCTTCTCCAACTCTGGCGCTTTGCACTCGGTGACCGGCGGGGAGCCGGGCGGAGGCGCCACGGGGAAACCAACGTGGAGGCCATTTTCGGCGTGGGCCGACAGAGCCTTGCTCCTCCAAATGGGCCAGCACAGCTTCCAAAAGACAAAGAGAGAGACTACCAACAGGGCGAGGCCACAGAAACCCACGACCACAGCAAGGAGACTAATAGAGATGTCTACATGTAACCATGAAGAGACCCATAGAGGAAGACAGAGACACGTCAGAAGGAAAGGACAAGCAAGCAAGGGAGACAAAATATGACGGACAAACATGCAAGGGAGAAAGAGAGAAAAAAAGGACAAAGCCAGCTGTAAGAAAGAGGGGGCAGCATATGCACGTGTTTGATAAAGCAGGACAATATAACGTCATAAAAAAACCTTATTTCAGGAGCCACAGCATCAGGAAAATCACATGATCAGGGACATAAGTGGAAAAAATATCTCCCATCTGCTCCTGACATTTCCTTTTCTTGTTGATATTTAAAGTTTATGCTGACTGTGCATCATATGCAATGAAGTTTAATGCAGCTTACTGCAGCTTTTCAAAACGTGAGACTCAAACTGACACTCGGTAAAATAGCCAGATTGCAAAGCCTATCGGATGTCTGTCTGTTTTCCACCTGTTGCTATTTCACCAGTCTGGACTGAGCTGCAGCAAGATGCGTAACAGGTGGAGAAACGCTTTCATTGCAGTTCAATGCCATACAACACATGCAGCTAAGTGATGTAATAAAGTTTTCACAAGTGAGAGCTGTGTTTTTTTTTGTTTTTTTTTCAAACGCTGCAACAAGTCAATCTCTCTCTACGACCGGAACGAACTAAAGTGACTAATTAGGGGAAGTAGGAGAAGAAAATAATGACTTTATTGCATTTACCTGCGTGTCCTTTACCTGGTATGCTGCTCTCCAGGGGAAATATATCCGAACATTTCTCCTGGTCTACGTGTCCCGCGAGACAAAGTTCCGTAATGATTTGGAGAGCCCTTTGGCACAAGGTGATGCCGTCCTCCGTCCGGACACTCATGTCTCTCCTGTTAAGCCATTGCACGCCGGGGGAGCCGGGAGGGCGGTGGTTCATTTGGGCTTTTTTAAATTTTTTTATGCGCAGCAGAGTGCAGCCTGTCCGTGGGAGAGAGCAGGGAGGCGCGCTGCGTCCTGATCCATATCCAGCGCGCAACGAGAAGCAACTGTCCAAACGCGCTCCCTGCGTTAGATGAACACGCGGCGGGAGTCCAACCCTTGGCTGCGTCCAATAGCGATGCGCATCAACGTGTGAGTGAGTCCTGTTGGTTGGCGGCAGTAACGGCACTACTTTTTCTAGTAACGACTAGAGTTCTCCGTGTTAGTGTCTCCGCCTTTCGTCCGCCAAATGCTGGTGTATAGACTCCAGTCCTCCCAACCCCCAACTGGTCTCTGTCCCGTGTGACCCTGGACAGTGTACACGAGATGATACATAAGGGATAACAGATGGATGGGGCTTCGAAGAATACGTTTTTATTTTAAAAAACCATGAAGACATTATGTTCCCGTACTTTTCTTATTCCCTCCTGTGACTCACATTGTGTTCCATCGACCATCAATCCCTAATTACACTAATTGATCAGATGTCAAAGAGCCACGTCATTACAGCTTAATGATTATTTATGATGTGGTTTCAACAGTTGTCATAAAAAAACAGTAATACACATTGTGCATTGCTTTAGAAGTATCTAAACTACGTTTAAAGCATATATAAAGTGTATATAAGTCTATGACTATACGTCAATTAGCATAGATTTTTGCATATATTCAGACTAATTTAAAATCTTAAATATTGTAGTGAGTATAACATGGCTTTTGAATTCAAACGTCTTTAATTTCTCCCTTTCTTAATTAAAATGATTTATATCTGGGAAGACAGGACAGTTGCAACATCTCAACTCATCTTCAACTCAAACATGTAAATTATTTTTAAAAGGGATCAAGTTGCAAAGCTGTTATTACATGTCAGCTGTGACATTTCTAAATTACAGATTATTCTGTCTCAAAATGACAATTTACGAATAAAGTATCCCTATAAACAATAATTAAATGTTTTTAAACCAATTATTACCCGTTTGGCACATTTGAAGCTTACACCATGAGTCATCTTTCACAGCTTAATAGCTAATATTATTTTTTATCGCACATAACCGCAGAGACATGTGATCAATGCTTATAACATATCACTGTCATCGCTGATTCCGCTGATATCAGTTTAAACTATAAAAGTCATTGAAGGATTAGCTCTTGTTTTGAATTACACTAACGTTATGAAAATAAGGTATGTTATGACTTCAAATACATAATAAATGGGCTAATTATTACTGTTGCATGTTATTATTTCAGGATGCTTTTATAATATCTTTCCAGAGAGAGGAGTGACATGTTTGTCTTCCCAAAAGAACAAAATCAACACCAACAGAGACTTTGATGTCCATGTGTACATGGAAAACGACATTTACTTTATTCTCAACCACAGAACATACGAATTAAAACATCTGCTGCATAAAGCAGGCGAGGAAGACAGAAATTCAAAAAGTTCAAGGATCTTTCGTCACTGTCACTACAAAGGTGACATTGTTGTCTCCACTGCAGGAGATCAACCCTTATCCTATTTTCCTTGGGTGCTTCTATTATTTACCTTGCTCTCAATGCCAATGGGGGGCACGAAACTGTAGCCAAGGGAAACTGGAAATTGCGTTGAAAATGACAAAATAACAGCCGCATTGAAAGAGTGACAAAGATTGCCATTCTTACTAACCCGTCCTGAAGGAAGTGACCCAGAAACAGGAAAGAAAAACCCTCTTCACAACCCAACCACAGCCATGTGATCATCTGTGTTTCCACTAATGACCTCATATCTTTGCAATAAATTGTTATTCATGTCCTCATATTTGAGCAGCTCGTGATTTTGCATTTTTAAAGCTAATGTAAAACGAAACATTGGATACTTCAACCTCATAAATGCACAAAAATGGAAATCCCATGCAGTATTTCCATGCATATTATAAAGTGATATACATATTTATGTTGAACATTTTAAATAAATTCAAACATACTTGGATTAAGAGAGTCTTTCTGCAGCTCTACATTCACCTCATGTGAACTCATTTTTCATGACCAAATACATTACATGTCTGTCTTTTTTTAAATATTCTTACAATACATGTATGGAATCTTGGACATTACAAGATGAATGAATAAAAATTTATTTAATAAAGAAAATGTCACAATTTTGTCCAAGTTGCTGTCATCAAATTGCTTGTTTTGTACGACCAACGGTCCAAAACCTACATTATAAAATAGAGAAAAGCTAGAAGTATTGATTGGTTGGCATTTTGAAAATTTTGAAAATTGACCAATAATAGTTTTAGCTTGAATTTTTTTCCCATTATTCTAACAATACATCAGTTGTGTTTTGGCTGCTTGCTCGGCTGCAGACTCTTGTTTCTGTCGCCGTTTGTTTCTGATTAGATTATCATCCCAATGTTCAAAATGGTTCCCACTCTCCCAATAAAATGACGTTTCCCATTTTCTGAGCACCGTTCCCAAATCACGAAGCCAAAACCAGAAGGCTGTTTGGCAGACCTACAGATTTGGGAATTAACCGAACACAGAGGGGCAAAACTAATTAACTGATGTACTGAATTGGAGTTGGCTAAGCAGCAGATTTGATTCAATACCATGCAACTGATATGAGCCACATGAGCATACAGCCAGCAATTTGGCGGTCTGGGCTGTGTGGACGGTAATGTCATCATTTAATAGGACGGTGCTCTTTAGGACGCAGAAGGACAATTAAAACAATGGAAGCCACTTGTGGCATTTTGCAGTCATGGATAACTTAAATATCCAAAACAGACTCCACGCAAAACTTTACTTCAAACTTTTCTCAAGCACTTTTGTGCATCTCTTGCCCCCCCCCCCAGAGTGTTTGATTTCCCTTGGCGGTTTATTCCCAACCTCGAATCCTTAATCCTTAGTTAATGTCCTCCATTTAATGTCCAGAGTAGCATTGTGAAGAGGAATAACCAGCATGTGTGCTGTTGGTGGAGCCCACTGGGTGCAAAATCAACTCCACTTTAAAATGCATTTTGTCGAGTTGCGTATATATTGTTAAAGGTTACTAATTTGAAGGCTGAAAGGAGGGAGTGCCGATGATGAGGGGTTAGTGTGTGATTATGTTAATGCAAACTTGTAAACACAAAAGCAATCACTGCCCACTCTGTATTGCCCCGTTGCTTTTTTCTCCCAAACAAAAAGAAAGAAGCAGAAAATGTAAAACACCAACTGTGCCTCTTAGCAATGCCAATTGTTGAATGTGAATTATCCCGTCTGGAATGATTTTAATCACGTCTGCATTGTAGTGTTCTCAAATCCAGATGGGTAAAGATAAATTATGGTAAAATGTTCTTATTTATTCTGTGCTAAGAGCAACAAGTCCTCATACATTAAGGACGTAAATATCATGAGTGTGGTCTGATCAGCATTGTTTATGGTGAATGTCTCTTTGAGTTAAGACAACTGAAACTGCCTCCTGAAGTCTAGGGAAATGTTGTGATCATTTTAAAAGTGACTGACAGCAGCAGATGGACTGTTTCTTGAATAATCGATTGAACTCAATCGTTCCTTAACCTTAACTATGTACTTATTTCCACCCAAACCGTAATATTTCCCTAACAAAGTCGTTTTTTTGGGTCCAAACCAGCTTCAGTTTAGAAAACACTTTTGTAACGGTAAACTGGTTGAGAATAGTTTCAGACGGGGAAATAGAAATCAGGAAACCCCCAATAACAAATTACATATTTTGTCGTTTTGATTTGGAGGATTTGTTGCTGACACCACATGTTGATGCTAACACCACATGTTGATGCTAACACCACCTGAGACTCAAAGTTTTCTGCAGACAACTTCCAGAGAAAGTGTCTCTGGGAGTCGTGGCAGATAATTGTATTGTTAATTATCCTGCTGTAATCAAATATGTTTATGAGAGTTTATTTTAGGCTAATCAGTCGATTGATTGAAAGTAACACCGGCACTCTTCACGTCTCACTAAATCATTTTCTCTGAATCTGAAATCATTTCCTTTGAATCCTTTCTCCTCCCAGAGGCAGATGACTGATGAGATTAACTTAATTGGACAATTTGTTCGATAATTGGTCCCTGGGAGACTAAATGATCTACAGATGTTCACAGAGATAACATCAATCAAGCACCAGTGAGTTTTTAATTGTATTATTTAGTATTGGTATTGATCTTTATTATCAGTGAGTATATGTGTCATTACTTTTCTATATATAAAAATTGAAATTGAATTCCGATATACACAATTCTCTAATTTGGCACCTACAAAGAGTACGTTTTGGCAAATTACTTTCCGCACATTGTCGATGCTTTCAATCAGGCCAAACTTCAAAATCCATCCCAGGACTGAACACACTAGAGGATAACTCACACTGTGACGCTGCCAGTAGAGACACGTCTATTTTGTGAGTAAAACTGTAGAAGAAAAGGTTATATCTCTATTTCTAAACTTTGGTTGCGTTTCTGTCTGTTGGGTTGCGCGAGGACAGTCTGAGAATGTCAAATGTCATGGTAAATGTCAGGGGAGTTGGCCACCAAGATGGCAGTGTGAACGTGTCGGTGGGTACTGGATGTTCCGAGTCTTCTACTTGCACGAGAGGTAAATAGTAAACAATGGAGAGTCTCCAAGTTACATCAAGCTGAGCAAATATGAGAGGAAATATTGTTTGGCTTTAAAACGTACCTGTTCGGGACATGCGGATTGATTGGTCTTGTCGCTGTTTGCTTGAGAACCGCTTATCCAATCACCCACAATGCACTTCCTCAGGTCCTCAGCAAAAACGCCCGCCAAGTGTGTAGTGGATGTCGAGAAAAATACAAATATATCTGTCCCGTAGATCCCCGGTTTCTCAGGTCTGTCTTTCTTTATCTGTTCTTGCTGTACAGCAGATACACATGTTAAATAAAAGATTATGGAAGAAATTCAGCTAATTGGCGACCTTAATAAAATCGAACCCGCCTGTGCTGACCCAAGTCTTTGGGAATGACTCCACCACACACTATGTACATAATGCACTACTAATAAACATGTCCCGTATTTCCTCAGTAATACACCCGCCAAGCGTGAAGTCGATCAGGATATCTGTTGTTGAGAATAACGAAGGACAGACATACAAAGAATCCTTCTGAATCAGTTCGATAACATCAGCA